AATTTTCCAAACTTTCTTTGGGATAACTACATTTGTAAGAGTACTTTAAAGATCAAATAATTTTTTAATTGCTAAATTGGAAAACATGTTCTTGCAAAAGTAATTGTCAAAGTGTACGGGTTTAATTTTCTTTGGCATAACTTTGTCATGTTGACACGAGAAAAATTTATAACCTCATCCCGTGACATAGAACCACGAGCTTTTTGGATAGTCACTCTGGAAAGTCTCATCACACGACATAGAACCGCATGTTTTTTGACTCTAACACTCAAAAGGCCTCATCACGCAATATAGAACCACGTGCTTTTCGGCATACTCACCACGCCTCATCAGTTGACCTAGAACCAACTGCTTTTTGGCTAAAACAAGAATCTCGGTCTCACCAAAGTATGTTTTGAAACATTACCCCTTATACTTTGAAAATAACTCTTTTTAAGAAACAACAAATACTCAAAAGAGCATCAGCAAAAAGATTTTCAATAAAGCACTTAAAAATTAATTGATCTAAAAAAAACTCTTAATAAATTGTGAACTTATCCCAAATCATTTTAGAAAACATTCCCAAAAAGGTTAGAGTAGAAATAGAAGTTTGACAAAAAATTTAAAAATTTCCAATTTTTACGGGTGATAACTAAAGAGTAATTAACCAAACAAATAAAATTGATGACTATACTATAAAAAATTTTTCCTACAAATATATAGACAAAACAATTCCTAAAGAGATCATTTCAACCAGGAACTCTTACCTCCTCACACTTAGACGGAACCACGCCCTCGTGGTTAAAAGTATTTGGGCATTGGAGTTAATGGTTGAAATGAAATGCTCACATGCAATTACTAAGTTATCTCAATAATTATAAAATTCAAAGATGAAGACTAAAATAATAGATAACCATAACATGAAAATATGAAATAATGCATAAAATATTCTCAAAATGGTTTTAAGAGTCATGTTGTGAAATTCCAAAATAAAAATCATCAAGTATCCAAATCATGTTCAACATAGTAGAGAAAAAGAGACTTTACTGAGGAAGTCAATATTCTCTCAGTAGCCAACTTCAACCAGGATTGTTGGATCAAGAAGACTCGAAGGTTGCAGAAACCTTGTGTTTTCCCCAGGTGAGACCTCTTCTTCGCTCCCACTGTAAGGTATGCCCTACAATTCTCTCATCTGCAAAAGCAAAGACAACAAACAAAATAACTCTTGCCCCCAAAACTGGTGCGGCAAGCATAACCTCAAAAACTAACAAATAAAACTATTGAATTTATTTAATTATTTTAGTTATTTGAATGACGGGTTGCCTCCCGTTAAGCGCTTCTTTAACGTCCGTAGCTCGACGCTCACCCACTTTTTCCGCGACTTCCCAATCCGAGAGTCATAAAGTTTGGCACTTCTGACTCTCTTCTGGTGCCACCTTGTTTGATTTGTTGCTCGGTCAAGGTCCAGGATCCTTGACTCAT